GATGCATGAACTGGTTTCTATTTTTGAAAGGTCTGTTCACATGAACTGCAAAGATTGTACTTTAGGGAGGAAGATTGAAGAATAAGACCAAACAGGTGTTAAGAAATCTCAGCAAACTTCAAGAAAATACAGAGAAATGATTCACTGAAATCAGAAAGGTAATACATGAACAAAATGAGAAATTTAACAGGTATTGACAGTATTAAAAAATATCAAACAGAAATTTTGGAGCCAAAAAATACAACTAATGAAGTGAAAAATGCAACAGAGAACATCAATAGCAGAAATGATCACACAAAAGAATGACTGAACTCAAAGATGGATTATTTGAAATATACAGAAAACAAAAAAGAATGAAAAGGAATGAAGAAAGCTTATGGGATTTGTGAGATACATCAAAAGAGCAAATATTCGAATCATAGGAATTCAAAGAAGAAAAAAAGACAAAAAGGTAGAAAGCTTATTTAAAGAAATAATAGCAGAAATTTTTCCAAGACTGGAGAAACACATTAAGTCTCCAGGTAGAAATAGGTCAAAGATCTTCAGTCAGATTCAATCCAAACAAAACTACACTATTTCCCACTAATATTCAAACTGTCAAGAACCCAGGACAAAGACAGGATCCTGAAAGCACTGAGAGAAAAGAAGCAAAAAAATATTTAAAGGATTTATGATAAGTTATTAGTGTATAATTCAGCAAAGATATTACAGACCAAAAGAAGGCAACATAATATACTCATTGTGCCAAAGGAAAAAAATATGACCAACCAAGAATACTGTACTTAGCAAAGCTGTCCCTCAGAAATGAAAGAGATATAGATTTTCCCAGACAAACAAAGGATGAGGTAATGAATTATAGGTAACCTGAAAGAAAAGGAAAGAGTCCCAAATGACATAGAAGCCCTAAAGGATGATATTATAACTGAAAATCTCCCCAAGTATGCCCAAAGATTCAGACATACATCTTCTGAATGGATATCGAACCCTGGGTCATCTCCATTCAAACTAAGAGTCTCCTAGACACATTGTAATTAACTTGGCCAACATAAAAATTAAAGAGAAAATTTTGCAAGCAACCAGGCATAACCAGCATCTGTCCTAGAAAAGCAAGCCAGAAGTGGGATCTTATTTTCAATCTACTCAAATAAAACAACTGTCGGCCTAGGACAGAGCCCTACCCCTGGTCCCAAGCTATACTACCCAGGTACATGTATGATGTGCATCCTTAATTATCCCTCAGAAATTTGGATAAATAAATGCACATTATATTTGGCAAAATATGGTAAATCATAAAACAGTTGGTATTTTCAGAGAACTGAATAACTGCTTGAGAAAACTCCCACACATGTGCTATCTGAAGTGTCATGAGTGTGAGGCACAGATAACCAAGACAGCTGTTTTTCTTTCACTAAGAGTCTTCTCTTGAATATCGACGATGGACCATAGTTCTCAGCCCCTCACAGTTTCACATAGATTTTTTTCCTGGAGGGATCTTTCTAATCACAATTTCTTCCAGGTAATTAGCATCTTTAAATCTGGCCCTACTGACATCCTGTACTCCAGTCCCTCCATCCTGGTTATTGGTCCAACAGTGTCTTGTTATGACTGCTCCTCCAAGACCCCACACCTAGGGAGCAGCTCAGACAAAGTCCCCTCTAGACTTTCTCATCCTCATTCTTCCCTGACTCACAATCTCCACTCAGCATCTCAGGTCCCTTTTCCTCTTGGCAGACAGAAAAGTTCTCTTCTGTTGTTATTACCTTGTTGAAGGCTTAGTTGGCTACTGGGTCCCTCCAATCTCTCTTGTTCATCACTTCCTTGTAAATATGATTGGTCTGGGACCACTGAAGAGACACAGAGAGCATCAGTGAGAGAGAGAAGGCAGTTAGATATCTCTAGCAGAGAACAGGAACATCTTGAAATTTTACATTTAAGAATTCCAAGCTCTTGGGTCACTCAGAGCTCAGTGGGTCCCACATGACTTAAGTAACATGAATTTCATAGAGACAAGTTATCAGGTCCTAGAGAGAGTTGACTATAAAAGAGAAAAAACCCTAACAGCTTTAGTAATACAGCCAGAAAATAGGAAGATTTAGGCTTATTTGGGTCATGGAGGATAAGTAATTCCCAAAGAAACATAACAGAAAACACAGGGGCAGCTTGAGTGCACTTCAGGGTCCAAGAGGAGCAAGTGTCTCCCAGAGGGAAAGGGGGCTACTGCTCCAGCCCAGGTGGTGGGCAGCACTGTCCAGCAGTGGTAAGCTTGTGTGCCTGCTACCCAATCATGTGGAATGCTGGACACTCACACATGCAATACAGGTGCAGGGCTGGGAAGGGGGATCCCATAAGCCATGGAGGGGATTGGAGCTCCTGAGATGTGGCCATAAAAGGTAACACCATTCTCTTCATACCCATGGCCTGGAACATGCTGGTTGAAAATACAACACTGACTTGAAACTAGTCCCTAGGTACAGTTAGCATTCCCTATCTGTGGATTTCAGATTTGTCAATTCAACTAACCTTAGATTGAAAAAAATGGGAAAAAATTAAATAAAAAATAATCAGAAATAATACAAATTTTAAATATACAACTATGTACATAGCACTTACAACTGATAAAGCATTATAAGTAATCTAACAATCTTTTAAAGTGTATAGGTAGCTATACTTAGATTATGTGAAAATACTATACCATTTTATTTTTATTTCTACCTTTTTAGAGACAAAAGTCTCACTCTGTCACCTGGATTGGAGTATAGAGGTGCAGTCATAGCTTACTGTAACCTTGAATGCTGGGCTCAAACAATCCTCCTGCCTCAACCTCCCGTATGTCATTTCATATAAGGGACTTGGGTATCCAGGATTGGGGTTTGAGGAGGGAGGCATCCTGGGACAATCCCTATAGATATTGAAGGAGAACTGTACAGTATATGATTTCCTCTAATCATCTCTCTGACTTGGATATATGATAGTATGGAAATGAAATAGCTCTTTTTAGAATCAAGGTGTGGTGTTCACAAATCAACACAACCCATTATTAAAAGTAACTTTTACTTTTTCCTTACTTAGAAATCCCTTGTTGTTTCTTATTTTCAAAAAGCAAACTTAAAATTCTATAGCATGGGGGTCAGGCCTTCCAAAATCCACTTCAAATTCCCTCTCCAGAATCAGCTTCCAAGCCCTCACTCCACACCCAGAACTACGTGATTCTAAAAGCCAACCCCACCAGCTCTCAAACTTTGTAGCTCTCACATGCTGCTGCTGCTCAGCACATGGATATGGGCTGGGCTTTTCCCTCTACATTTGGGAAAGCACATTGACAAAGGACTACACTAAACAATAAATTTTCTAACACAAAGAAACGTGTCTATGACTATCAGAGAGGGCTTTCTCCTTTCCTAAGAAAGGGTGCAACTCATGTCTTCCTCCCAAAAGTAGAGACTTCAGTCCCATGTTTTGCAGCATCAAAATCAGGTCCTGGCTGAGCGGCCATTTGTAGAATTACTTGCTTAGCATCTGTCCCTCCCACTATATGTAAGATCCATGAGGATACAGGTCACATGTGTGGTCTTCACCATTGTATTCCTTCCATGCCTGGTACATGGTAGCCACTCAGTAAAATATTTGCCAAATATTAGTGAAGAGTGAACTGATTATTCAATGAATGAAATATACTTGAATCCCCAAAAGCTGTTAAGAGGTATACTTACCATTTCGGAAGCTTCTGAAAATATCATTTAAATTAGGATAGGCCTTCAGGTTAACCCTGCTGAACAATGTTTCCAGAAGGAACACATCAAACATCTTCTCCAGGTCACTGAGGACATTGTACATCACTCTTGGCACTGGAACCAGGTTTCTACAAGCTTCTAGAGCATTCTTAAAAATATCAAATGGAGAATTACATATCTATGAACTCATAGGTTATAAAAGACTCTTAGAACATTTATTCTCTCATGAAATATTAAAATTTTGCTTATATTTGGCTGACTTTTTATATGTCTTCCATTACAAAAATAGACTTGCAAACCTGTCCTTCTGATAATGCTATACACTTGAAAGGAGAGACTAATTTTATATAGTAAATATAGATTAGAGGTTGAATGTTATTTTGAGGATTTGAGAGACTGGCCAGCATGTTTCAGGAGTGGCCTGAATAGGTCATGAGAAGCTGCTCTGTTGTATGGACAGGAAGCACTGCCAGCATGGGTACAGCCTGATAGGCTCCAGGAAACCAGGTGACCACTCTCCCTTCTGTGAACCTGGACAAAGGGCAAAGAAAATTCCCAAAGACAAGAAGAAGGCTTGTCCTCAGTATCCCCAAAGGACAATGACATTTACTTGCATTCCTGGGGCTCTAGAAATGCCCCAAATCAAGAAATTATTTGAGCCAGGTGTAGTGGCAGGCACCTGTAGTCCCTGCTACTCAGGAGGCTGAGGCAAGAGGAGTGCTCCAGCCCAGGAGTTTGCAGTTGCTGTGAGCTATGATGCCACAGCACTCTACCCAGGGTGAGAGAATGAGACTCTGTCTCTAAAAAAAAAAAAAAGAAATTACTTGAAGAAAGAGTAGCAAACATCTGCTTCCACATGTGCCCTGCAGTGACACAACTTCCCTGTGAGTTTCAAAAATTTCAATGTTGCAAATAAGCATCCTTTGTAAAGAAATGCTTCCTGGATCACTATTTGCTTTAATTTTAGTGTCCACTGGTATATTGTATAAATGCACCCTTGCTACTCTGCACCTAGCAGCACTCTCATTCCTGCTCCAGACCCTTCATAGTGCCCATCCTGTGGTACTATAAAAGAGAGAATGTTTTCTGTGATACTGGCTTCTCCTGTCACCTCCTAACTTACAGCATGGTGAAGGTCCCCACTCACAGGAGGTCCTTCAGTCTGTTTATTGAGTAAACTAAAAATAAAATCCTAAGCCCCACACTGACTTAATGGATCCCCTGTTGGCCAAGGGAACCCCAGAAAAAACCTTAAAACTGAGTTCCCACCCATGCCAGGAAGAGAGGTCAGACACACCTCCTCATATCTCCCCCCTTTTGGAGTTTAGACACAGCAACTGGCCAGCATTAATTTTAAAATAGGTACCATAAGACTGCTAAAAGAACTCTATGGCCATATGATACCAAATTAGAACAGGACCTAAGGCCATGTGAGGCAAAGGATAAGTCACACCTACAACCCACTAATTGAAGCATATTGTGACTAGCTCTATAATTAGCAGACTTTGTTATCTTATTCTAAAACATTTCTTTCCATTGACTTCAAGCTTTTAAACAAAATATTACTCTTTCACCTATTACAGATTAAAGAACCTACATAGCTTGTGATTCCACCTACAAGCTATGCTAACCCCATCAAATTGTCCTGCCTTTGGAGCTAAACTAATGTATACCTTCCATATATTGATTTATCATTTTGGCTGCAATGTCTGTCTCCCTAAAATGTGCACAGCGAAACTGTAACCTGAACACCTCAGGCCCATTTTCTCAGCACCTTTGAGCCTGTGCTTCCCTATACCACAATCTCTCACATTCAGCTCAGAATATACTATTTATTTAATTATTTATTCATTCATTTATTTTTGTTGCAGTTGTCATTGTTGTTTAGCAGGCCCAGGCCAGGTTCGAACCCACCTGCCTTGGTGTATGTGGCTGGTGCCCTAACCACTGAGCTACAGGTGCCAAGGAAGAATATACTTTTTAAATTATTTTGCAGAGTTTTCTTTTTTCCCCTCCCCCCATTAACAGTTGCATCTTAACATTTGGCAAAATAAAATGTGAGCCTAGTTTACCATCATGGGGAAATCTCACTTACTTCAAACCTCTGCTCTGAGATGAGGTCACGGTCTCGGAGGCTCATGAGGAAAGGAAATGGCTGTGTTATTGCATCTGCAATCTCCACCTTATTTTCTCTAAAGTGCCTCAAAGCAAGCCTAGTTAAAAACTTCTCTTTTAGTGTTTTGTCGTTGATGTCCTGGCTGTCTGTGTCCACCCTAGAAAGATACAACATGGAAATAGACACTGAGTTTCCAAAGGTTTTGTGTGGCCAGGAAATTTGAAACTTGAAGTATGATTGATGAAGAGCCAACATGTATAAAATAAGTATTCCTTTGTGGTTCACAGGATAAAACATTTTGGGAAAAATCAGCGGTGGAATAGAGGACAACAGTGAGATTAGGAAAGACCTGTACATAGACATAAAAAGGTTAACCCTGTTCCAACCAAACTATTGTAAAGAGACCTTCACTAAACTCTTGAGAAAAATTAATGAATTAAAAATGTAAAAATTGTCTGGCCCTTGTGGCTCACGCTGGAAATTCTAGTACTATGTGAGGCTAAGTCCAGTACTATGTGAGGGAAGGTCATTTGAGGCCATGAGTTCAAGATCAACCTGTGCAACAGAGACCCTATCTCTACAGAATTTTAAAAATTAGCCAGGAATGATATAACCTCCTAACTACTTTAGAGGCTGAGGTAGGAGTGTCACTTAAGCTGGGAGTTCAAAGTTGCAGTAAGCTATGGTCACACCATTGTTCTTCAGCCTGTGTAACAGAGACCACCTTCTGTAAAACGAAATTTTTTTAATTGTTAGTATCTTTTAAAAGGAATAGATTTGGTTACCATGGCAGTTAATTTTGTGTGTTAACTTGGAGGATTTGGGGGTAAGACTAACATGGAAACCGACAAATTTTAAGTAAGGCAAATTGCTTTCCATAATGGGGATGGGTCTCACGCAATCAACTGAAAGACTAAATAGAATGAAAAGACCAGACTCACAAAGAAGAGAGAATTCCCTAGGAGACTGCATCTAACCTGCAACCGCACCATTGGCTCTCCCAGGTCTCCAGACTGCTGGCCCACACTGCAGATTTGGATTTGCCAGTCTCCACTATGGTATAAGTCAGTTCCTTATAGCTAATATTTTTATATATACACATACATACACACACACACACATACACATATATATACACGCACACATATCCTGTTGGTGCTGTTTCAATGAAGTACTCTGACTAGTGCAAATTTTTTTTTTAATAATAGAGGAAGAAATGAAAAGAAAATTACAGATATATCATAAAACCTAACACTGAACTGGAAGTCTTCTTAGTTATCAAAAAGAGAAGAAATTTTAGAAAGATGCAAATGAGATACACCTCACACATCTGTAACTGCAGAAGAAGGGATGACATTCTGTGTCATAAAACTGGTTCAAAGACTGTCATCTGGTAGGTTTTGAATTAAGCACAGTCACAAGTACTTTACTCTTTTTCTCAGATCCAGTGTAGAGACTCCATGAATATTCAAAAGAAGGACACATGGCTCTGTGTCTAAACTTGCCTGCATAAGAGATATTTAGAGACCTCTAAGATCTTTGAATTTTAGACATTAAGTCCATGCCTGGGAAAAAGTAATTTAAAATTCATGAGGATTTGTAATTCTGGAAATCAATATATAAACAATTACATGTTCCTTAGAACAATAAAACACTATTATAGTCCAGTTCAGGGGTAGAAGGAAGTGGGAGGGGGGAGGGGTGATGTACGGCAGAGGGAGGGAAGGCATGACGTGGAATCTCACCTAATGTGCACATTGGGAGGGTGTATAACACGCCCCCGGGGTGACGTGGAATCTCATCTAATGTGCACATTGGGAGGGTGTATAACACGCCTCCGGGGTGAGGGGCTCTTCTACAAATGGAATTTTACCCTGGAAGTGAGAACAATGTAACCTAAGTATTGTACCCTCATAATAATTTGAATAAAGTTTAAAGTTTAAAAAAAGAAAAGAAAAGAAAAAATGCTATGGAACTAAAAAAAAAATTGTAATTTTGATTCTTACTTGATAAAGTGTTCCCTGCGCTAGTAAGGCCTTAACACATTTCTGTGACTTATAGGGTTTTTTAAATCCCTTATAAGAGGGTCAGTGAGACTTTCCCATTCCACAGACATGCATTAAGATAGACCAAAATCCCATTTAGCCACTGAATTCCTTAAAAATAACAACAACAACAAAAAAAAAGACTTTGAGTTAAAGATAGTTGATTGAAGAGAAGTATTTTTCTCCTACTAGAGTAGTCCCTAAAATGACAGTAAAAGAATTAAAGTCATAGGGAGGTGCCTGTGGCTCAAGGAGTAGGGTGCTGGCCCCATATATCGGAGATGGCAGGTTTGAACCCAGCCCTGGCCAAAAACTGCAAAAAAGAAAAAGAAAGTCATAATAACAAAGAGAAAGGAATTACATGAGCAATTTAGACTAAAATCAGAAGACAAAGTTGTCAGAGAAGCACTAACTGCTTTTGCAGGTGGAGGATACTCCCAGAGGTCAGAAAAGGATCCAGGGTGTCTGGCAGACTCCTGGAGAGATAATGATGGATAGGAAGGAGACACAAAGACAAAAAACAAGGGATTGTTCAGAAGGTTAAATACAAAACAACCTGCCCTCCAACATAGAACATTTATATTCAGATAGAGACTGGAGACTTCTTTAAAAATATATAAATGATTGTGAGAAAAGGCTTTCACCATTAAGTATTTGGAATTCCCCCAGTGAAGCCCACAGTTTGCAAGCCCATCTCATTAAATGAAGTTTTAAGTTAGCTTGTCAGCTCCACGTGCATAAGTATAAAGAAACTACAACAAGCCACAGGCATGAGAAAGAAAGGACATGAAGGAGTAGGATCAAGTTGACCAAAGGGAAAATCCTTACCCCAGCAGAAATAGAGATGGTTCACAGAACAGGAGAGAGTTTCTAAAAAAACAAATACTACCATACATCTAAGAAAATATATAGTGCCCAAATAGCATGCTGAAAAGAAACAACCAGAAAATAAGACAAAGGGCCTGGAAATTACAAATGATTGCTGACATGCTGACTTTTTTTTTACATCAACTAAAGTGGTCATAAAGCTAAAGAGAAAGAAGTTCCCAGAATATAAGGGGGGAAACCCTAAAAGGAAATATAAAAAGGAAATTTGAAACCCTAAATGTCTAAAATAGCTATGCAAGCAGGCAAGATGGCTGACTTGCCAGAGTTATCACTTGCCAGATCATCCTGGGAGGAAAGAAAGATTTCAGGTAAAAGAGGGAACAAGAAGGATGGGCACAGCTCAGGTATAGTTCAGAGGAAAAAGTACTAGAGCTTAATGGGGACATCACAGAAAAAAGTTGCAAAGCAGAACAAGAAGAAGAAAACAAACAAAGATATTAGCAATGATCAACCCCAGAGGAGCTGGGGTTTTATTTCTCCTACTCACACACCTTTGGTTGGGTATGCTTATTTCTTCTACCTACATACCTTTGGTTATCATCAACAGTTACTTGGAAGGTTTCACACCCTTACAAGCCCAAGCACTTCAGCAATTACTGAGTTGTGTAGGGAACTTGTGTGATCTCAGAACTTGGACATTCTGTGTCTCAACTGTGACTGGGGGCCAAGCACACCTCTGCCTCTGCATGGGATCTAACCAGAAGAAGAACTTCAACTGCCACAAGTACCACCTGGGAAGCTTTGCATGACTGACTCACTGGTTCTGAGTTGCGGAGGAAGAACCTTGGTCAAGCAACAGCTCTGGGAAACCTAGGTGGTCCTTGGGCCACTGAGACAAACCCCTGCCTACATGACTGGACATCAGTAATCTCCACACTGGCAGAACTGTCTTTCATATGTGCTGCTCTTCCCCTATAATCCCTAGAACAAGCTCTCACTATGCCCAAGCCCAAGGCTATACCCTTATAGGTTCAGGGTCCTCCATTGGGCCTGTGACATCACCCCTGAGATTCCAGAATTTTTACATGATCCCAAGGGTTCAAAAAGTCATCCACAAGGAAATTGTTGAAATGACAGAAATGGAATTCAGAATATGGACGGCAAATAAGATGAGTGGAATTAAAGAGAAAATGGAATGCCAACAAAAAGAAACATACATATGCAAATGTGTGTGCAAACATGCAGGACAAATAAGCAAACATATTTCAGGACATCAGTGAAAAAGATGATAAAGAACTAAAAAGCATAAGAAAGGATATAATAAAACTTAAAGAAATTAAATAGTCATTTAGAAAATTTTAAAACACAAAAGAAAGCTTAAATAGCAGACTAAACCCAGGAAAAAAAAGAATCCCAGAGCTTGAAGACAGGGTCTCTATATAACCCAGTTATTCAAACAGAGACAGAAAAAAGTATTAAAAAATCTGAGCAACCACTGAAAGAGATATGGGACTAACCTTCAAGTTATAGGTATTCCAGGAGAAGAAGAAGTATTTAAAAGCATAGAAAATCTATTTAAGGGAATATTGACAAAATCTTCCCAGGTATTGCCTGAGGTTCAGACATAGATATAGGAGATGGTCATTGAACACCAAGAAGATTCATAGCAAATAGAACATAACCAAGACACACAGTGTCTTGGCCAAAGTCAAGATAAAGGAGAAAATTCTCTAAGCAGCAACATGAAAGCAACAAATAACCTAGAAAGGAAAACTTATCAGGCTAACTACAGACTTCTCAGTGGAAACTTTATAATCCAGGAGGGTTTAAGGTCCCACCTTCAATCTTAAACAGAAAACCTGCCAGCCAAGAATTTTGAACTAAGTTTCATATATGAAAGGAAAATAAAAACTTTTCCAGACACATGAACACTGAGAGACTATGTCAAGACCAGACCTGCCTGCCCTACAAGAAATACTCAGAATTGCATTACACATGGATCAGCACAATAGTCATCCACCAGAGTAAAACCACCCAAAAGCTAAAGCTCAGAGCTCATGTAAAGCAATAGTGCAAGAGGTAAAACAGCAATAATGTAGTACCCAACAGGACGACCAGAACAGCATCCCATATATCAATTCTATCAATAAATATGAATGGTTTAGATTCCAAATGAAGAAACAGGTTGAGTAAATAGAATAAAAATATATAAGCCAAGTATCTCATGTCTCAAGGAAACACATCTACTCCGCAAGGACTTATACAGACGAAAGCCGAAGAGATG